AGGCGACCAGAATGATCTCACTGCAGCATTGGCTCTGATGCAACAGAAAATGCTCCAGATGCAGCAGACCATTCAAGCACAAGAATCTGCTCGCAATCAGCAGGAGAAAGCTGCTCAAATCAGAGAGCGAAATCTGCCACGGAACATCCCTGCTACTCGTTCCGCGATTGCTCCACCACCCTGTGCCAGACAAGACTTCGAGATCAAGCCTGCTATGATCAATCTCGTGTAGAGGAAGATGTTCCATGGGCTCCCAGCTGAGATACCTATGGAAGACATTGAAGCCTTTGAAGAAATATGTAGCTTCACTCGCGCTAATGGAGTACCTTTTGATTACATCAAGTGTATGCTCTTTCCGTTCTCTTTAGCGGACAAGGCTTCAAGATGGCTAAAGTCGCTCCCTATAGGCTCTCTCACTAAATGAGAGCAAGTCAGATCAGCCTTCTTGAGACACTTCTACGCGAAGTCTAAAACAGCAACTCTCAGGAACAAGATCTCTTCTTTCAAGCAGCACGCAAATGAACCATTCAATTATGCGTGGGAGCGATTCAATGACTCTCTTAGGGAGTGCCCTCATCACGGATTTGAGAAGGATCACATTCTGGGTATATTCTATGATGGTGTCGAGTGGGAGTTCCGCAATGCTCTGAATGCTGCGAGCAAGGTAGACTTCATGACACATACCACATACGGTGCGTACGAACTGGTAGAGAACATGGCTGCTAGTTCTGCGAACAAGAACACATAGACAGATAGCTCCAAGAAGGTGAACAGTGTTGATGGTCAGTGGAAAGATGAGCTCACTGCCAAGGTTGATCTGCTCCTAAAGAGCAGTGAGGGGCAAGTGATGTACATGGACGAGGCTACACCAGAGAAAATAGCTAATGATCTTGCTTCTGAGGGAGGAAAAAAGGGAGAGAATCATCAAGAGATTATGTACATCAATGGTCAGGGGTATGTCCAGAATCGGAGCTACTATCAGAATCCCAACTACCAGAGCAACCCTAACCCGCTCTCTCACCAGAGGAGCAACGCAGATAATTCTGGAGATCAGATGCAGCGAAATCAGCAGCAAGGTGCTCTGCAGCAGAGAGGTTTCCCTCCGAATTTCCAAGGCAAGACTTTCGTTTTCAACCAATCTCAGACTGATTTCAAAGCCAGAACCAAAATCAGAACCATCAGAATCAGCAGAGCAAGGCGCTCCAGCTAATTCAGGGAGTGGATAGAGTGAGATGAAAGCCTTAGGAAACATGATGCAGCAGCTGCTCCAGAGTCAACAGATACATGTTAAGGCGTTGAACCAAGCTACTTCTGATATCAACACAAGGATGGACAACATGTTCACTGAGCTCAACACGAAATATGACAAGGAGGACCTCCAAGGCGAGGGGGTGGTCCCTAAGGCGCTCGCCATGGTGTGCATTGGTCATACGGCGTGCTTTAAAAGGCGACGCAAAGGCGCGCCATGGAGACTGTGACGTTAACCTACACTAAACCAGGCAGAAACCATAATTTTATAGATGGACCAACCTTAAACCAAACGTCTGAAAACTCTTTGTTTCAAGTTCTTTGTTTTGGTGTCTTGGATTTTATCAATGTTTACATAGCTGACTATATTAGTGTGCATGACTAACTAGTGGCTGACTATGTTAGTGTGTATAAGACTGTTTGGCATAGCTAACTATACTAGTGTTGTATACGAGTCGACTCTATAACTATCTTGTGTACGTAACTTAGACTAGTTACACGTCTGTAGCTAACACACACACACACACACTTCTGACCTAGGAACATCTATCAATGCATATCTGAGTTCCTCTATAGCTGTATATAACTAGCCCACGTTTAAATGCATCCTATCCATAAGGCGAGCGCCTTGGAGCGCCTTGGCGCAAGGCGCATGGCTCTAACCTCCTCGCCTTAAAGCGCCATGCGCCATTTGAAACACAGGAGATATGAAACTAGAAATTGTTTTTACTTTGTCAGCCTGAAACAGCAGACGAGAAGAAACTACACCTTATCGATATTGGTTTAGGTAAGTTTCTGTAATATGTTTACTTGTATCTTTGGTTCCTGTGCTTATTTTCACTATTGTAAATATCTTATCCAGTGCTGAATATTTTTCTTTTGCATGAATAGGTTAGCCAAAAACGAGGAAGATTTCCTATCAATTTGGAAGAGGATGAACAGCTGAGGAAGAAAGTCAGAATCGACAGTCCTGCTACCCAGTGGATTTCAGTCTATAATGCACCCTATGAAACATAGGTAACTACTAAACATTTGAATGATTGCCATTACTCATTTCTGGAGTAGGAGTCTACTGACTGAAAGTACTAGATCAGAACTTTAACTACTGGTTGACAAAAAAAAGTGGAAAAGTACATTTTTTGACCTTAATAATTTTGATCGTGCCTTTTCATACCCGAAGAAAGAGTAAGTGCAAATTCATACCTAAACTGTAAAATTATTTGAAATTTCTACCCAAACTTTACAACGTAAAACAAAATCCTACTTTGACTAACTAAACCGTTAGTCAACCATTACTTTTGAATGGAAAAGTTAAAACGACGTTGTTTTACTGTTTCAAATTGAAATAGTTAATATTTAAAACAAGGATGTTGTTTTACTGTTTTAAATTATTTCAATTTGAAACAGTAAAACGATGTCTTTTTAACCATTAGTCAAAGTAGGATTTTGTTTTACGTTGTAAAGTTTGGGTAGGAATTTCAAATAATTTTATTGTTTGGCTATGAATTTGCACTTACTCTTTCTTCGTGTATTAAAAGGCACGATCAAAATTGTTGAGGTCGAAAAAGGCATTTTTCCCCAAAAAAGATGATATTTGTTTTTGGGGCACCTGGGTGGCTTTCCTTTGCTTAACGGGTCAATCTTTGTTGCTTTTGTAGGTATCATTACAGTGTTGCAGAGACAAGGCTGGTTTAGCATGTAGAGAAAGGTAAGGAGGATGGCCTTTTCATTAGCTGTGTAGCATCAGCAGCTAATCTCTGGGACCTTATCATGGATGCTGGGACTGGATTCAGCTCTCAAGTGTATGAATTGTCCACAGTCTTCTTCCACAAGGTAAATTCAGCTGACGCATTCTATCTGTAAAACCCCTATGCTCTACTCCAGCACATAACTGTTTGTTTCTTGATTCTTTGCTAGACTGGATCATGGAACAATAGGAAAAGAACTACTATATCAGTTCTATAGCTGGTGCTAATAACGGTAGCTCGTTGGTCGTTATGTTGAAAGGTTGGTATTCATATGCTTGACGATGAGCCTCCTGATGTCTTACTTAGTAATTCTTAGGCGGCATGAAGCTGTTTTACTTATTCTACTTCCATGTAATGTGATAGGAACTCGTTATACCCTGAATCTTACAAAGCCAGCGACTCATTCCCATTCAAATGGATAAATAAAAGGGAAAAATTCTAGAATGACTCAAATTAATGGTGTTATTACTAGAATGACTCATATTTTTTCAAAATTATTAGAATATTTTTCTGGTCAAATTTGTCCCTGGCTGTAGTTATAACAAAAAAAATTAATTACCAAAGTGTCCATCAAATTAGGTCGTCAGCCGATTTGTTTTCGAAAAAAATAAATCTGTCGCACGTTAAGTCTGTTTTTTAAATCGGATAAGAAAATATAATCTATCATAAAAGTGGTGGCAGATTTTTTTTTAAATCGTCATATTTATTTCTACGGTAGATTTATTTTGTCCGATTTGTATAGAAAACCGATTTTTGAAATATGTCTGTCGGATGACACAACAGATTTGTTAGAAATGACAGATTTTTGCGATCAACTTAGTTTCGTATGATAGAGATATATAATCGATTTATAATTCAGCAGACTTGTTGACTTATGAGATGGCAGACTTTTTAGTTTACGAAGTGGCAGATTTGTTGAGTTAATTCTGGGTTTTACTAAACCAAACTAAAATTTTGAAAAAAACCCGGTTTACTGAAATTCCGAGTTTGATTTATTTTTAGTGGATTAAGACCATGATTAGGTCTTGTTTTTGTAATTGTCTTCATTTATTTCACCCCTCTTTCCTTCCTTATCAAGTTGTTCTTTTTATGGTGGTTTAATCACTAGTTGCAATTCTCATAAATTTATGCAAAATTTCTTAAATAGTTTTAAATAGTTTTAAATATTTTTAGAAAAAGTCACCAATTCACCATCAAATATAATCAGGAACGATCCTGAAATATTGAGAACTATAAAAAAAATAATATAGTTTTAAAAAAAGTGTATAAAGTTTAACAAATGGTTTTATAAATATATGTTCTTTACAAATTTGAAAGTTTTTTAAAAAATTGGAGACCATTAGTCTTTCACCAGTCTATGCTGAGAAGGTTTGTATAAATATGTCTATGCTTAGAAGTGTTTCACTAGACTATGTTCCAAGATGGGTCCTAAATATAATTTTGTAAAAAATCTCTTGATCTTCTCGATTCGTGGAACTCACTTTACTCAGTGACAGATGCTCAGAATCTAGAGAATTGTGAAAAGCTAAAAACCGATGATAAGCCATTTGTACATTCATATCTGAAGATTAGAAGCACAAAAAGCCTTCATATGAAACATACAATGTACAAATGGCGAACACAGTACAAGAAAAGACTATGGAGGCTCTATCAAGTTACTGCTGATGCGAATACTGTCGCCTTTATGAGATTGGCGGTTCTTGCGTGTTAAAAAGAAATCTATATCATAGTTAGAATACAGAGGGAGAAAAAAAAAAAAAAATCATGATCAATTTTTGTATGTTATTTAAAGAGCAAAAATGAGTCACTGAATACAAATGGAATCTGGAACAAGTGCTCTCACATATCAGTTAGGAAACTATATCATAGCAATAATACAGAGGGAGAATTTAAAAAAAAAAAACAGAGACTCATGAATCAGTGACCAAAATGTGACACAAAATAAAAATGGAATCTGGAATATGTACAATCTTCTCGTGAATCATGATCATCATCAATAGCTATTTACCTCTGACGCTTGATAATGCACAACACTTTATCCTTCATTGCTTCTTCCACAAGTCTATACTCTTCTATAATACAAGTTTTCAATACTTCTTCTCCCTTCTCAATATCAAAATATTTGTCCTTATCCTATTCGAAAAACATGAAAACCCTCATGAAACCCGTTACCTCATGGCTCATCGACAAGATTGGCTTATTACCGCTCTTGACCCTCCAATGACCGCGCTATCACATCCATCGCTATAACCACAAGCCTCTGTCCAGTTCGCAAATATGTAGAGTCCAGATTCTTTAGACCTCTTATCTTCATGATCCACAAGCACGCAGTACACGTCGTAGGTTACGTAGGTGGGCTAGTTGTTCCTACCAGATTCGAATATCACCTGCAGATATGCACCATCGTCTTGTGAATTGGCTAAACGGATTCCATAAGCTGACAACTACTGTGTTGCAGGGAGCGTACCTGATGAATAGGATAAATGCTTGGCGAGCAAGAGACTGAACTCAGTTTGGAACAAAATCTGACTCTTGCAAACCACGTGATCTTGCTTAGAGTTCCATTTACTCGGAAGCCTGTACTCCTCCATCACCCAAGTTCTCTTGTAATCTCTCGCTTTGGTCTTTCCGCAGAACTTGAGAATCTTCTTGAACACTAGAAACAATCTTTCAATACCAAATTTACTGGAAAAAAGAACAAGTCTATCGTTTTTAAAGTGTGAATGAGTATTGAAATTGAGATTTAGGGTTTTCGAAATTAAACATTCAATCAAGCAATATATGTTAAAAACGTGTAGAAGTAACTTGGAATTGAATATATTTACCAATTACATGTTCATTTTCGTCGATTCAGAAAACGAAGACAGATCTTCCCTAAGGTTTTCGTGTACGGCGATGACGAAATCCAAGAGGACTGTAATGGAGGAGATGAATAAATAGAAGGGGTCTGTGACGGAGGAGATGTTGTCGGAGTGGGATAGGGACGACGGCGGCTCTTGATCAAACTTGAAATTTATATTTATTTTTAAAACATTATGATGTAAAGTATCTTCGGATAACTCAATAGAGAAACTTTTTAGATAATGATGATTATCAAATTAATGAAATTTGTTTTTAACTTATGGGTAATCATATATTGTTAAATCTAATCTATTTTCTTTATTAAAGGTAAGACTTTAAACATTTTGAATTTTAACATGAGAGAAAAAAAATTACTTCACAAATAATAGTATAAATATATATTTTTTTTTGTCAACTTTTTTCAGAAAAATAATCACAATGATTGATTTTGATTATCTTAAGAAATTTATCTTAAAAGATAAGTGAATCATTTTAATCTTATGTGATCTGTTTCTGTTTAATATTACTAAACCAAATATAATAAATATATATATATATATATTATAATATTATAATATTACTAAAGTAAATATAATATAAATTTAACTATGATATTATCGTTAAAATTTTTAAATTATTTTCAAGACAATGATAAATTATTATATAAATCACTAAAAATAGTTATTAAAATTAATAACTGATCATAAAATATGACTAAACTTACAATTATTAAAAATATATATTTTCTTCATCCTTATAATATTAAATTCATTTTTAATATAATATTATTAAGGTATATTATGGAGTGTTAACTAATCATTATTTTCTTATTTAATAAAATTTCAGATGATGATGTAAAAATATAAATATTAGTATAAATTTAAATTAATGACTTATTAATTAAAATCATTAAACCATGAAAAATAGATAAAATTATCTAAAATCATGGAAATCATGACAAATCAGAAAATTTATTTATTATTTATTAAATTTATTTTTAATATAATACTATTAGGGTATGTTATCATAATAATAAATTTTTTATTTAATAAAATTTCACATAATGATGTAGATAATAAAGCTTCAAATATTAGTATAAATTTAAACTGATGAGTTATCAATTAAAATCTTTAAGAACATGGCAATATATATAAAATTAACTAAAATCATAGAGAACATTACAACTAAGAAAATTTTACTTCATAAATAATAGTATATAGATGTACATAATTTAACTAATATGTATATTTTAAAATACAACAATTTAAATTTAATATTTATTCTAACTATTTACATTATTTTTAAATTATCATTTCTCTCGTAAGACGGACCGGCCCTAATATTAATATATAATCTAAATGCATATCAGAAGCATCTATGTATCTATATAGAGAAAGTAGAACACTTTCTTATATTTAAAGAATCTCGCCAATTGATTTACTGTAATAAACAACTTAATATTATTTTTCAAAATTAAGAATTCTGTCATAACTATTGATATCAAACTTTTAATATCTAATAATAGTTCATAATATATGCTAACATATTGTAAATGTACAACCTAATCAAAATTCTGAAATACAAAACATTTCACCAAAAATATCAATTCAGTAAAAAACTAATAATATATTCCACAAAACATCCAAAATGAAAAGCAAATTGATAAAACTCATAAGAACAAATATGGAAATCCATGTATGATTTTGTTTTTAAGTGTCATAAGAAAGCTTACGGAGATACACGATAAAAAGATGAATCTCATGAAATTTTCCTTTTTGGATCATCAAACTTAGATAAATTGAAAAATGATTCTACCGTCCATACTTGGGCGTTGGTGTTTTCCGGATGCCTCGTAGAAAGAAAAAGAACATTTTTCTGGACAGGGTTTATACAATGCATTCGAGGGCTTTAAAGGTTTGACGGCGACAAGAAATGTAAGAGCTAGTCTTTCACATTTGCATGCAGAGGTGGAAGTATTAATATGGGCAGTGGAAAGCATGAGGAATTTGCGTGAGTTTCAATTTATGTTTGCAACGGACTGTTCTCAATTGGTAAAGATAGTTTTAGAACCACATGAATGGCCCGCTTTCTCAAGTTATAAGGAAGATATAAAGACACTCAAGGGAAGTTATCTACGTACCAAGAACACATAATTTACGGACGGATAGTCTTGCACGCAGTGCTAGGAAACAATCGTCCTTCGTCGATCATATGGTTGCAAAGTTACCAATTTGGTTCACAGTGTCGATATGAGTTTGTTTTTGTTTATGACAAAAAAAAAATGATAGACGTCTACATCCAAAATAATGTACAATCATTTAAAAAAAAAAAAAATTAGTTTGAGTAGGAAAGCAAGATATAATCTCTAAACTATGGGTTATTCAATCAAATGTTTGTTTCTTGCCAGATTTAAAAAATAATAAAATAAACCCTAATATATAAAATAAATCCTGCCATAGTTCGGTCAAAGAAATGTCGAAAACCCTATGGCAGGACTGAACGTGATGGTGGACGTAATGATCTCTCTTTAAGACCTGACTACTACCGCTATATCCAGATGCTGTGATTTCGCATCCACTATTGAATGGAGCAAATTATGATGAGTGGACTTGTAGTATGAAAACAGCCATCTGTTCTTGATTTGTTTTTTATTCCATGATGCGTCGATTGCATGCCTAACAGATGGATCTTCTAATTTGGAAGACTGGTTAAGGATTTTGGCGTTTCTTGTCTCGTGGATTAATATAACGACCTATCTATCCTTTTGATCCAGCCTCTCACATCGTGATGTTGAGAAGATTATGGGAGCATTTGGAAAAAAACGATTCTCTATTATAAACTGACCTTGTATTCAAAAACTTAAGGCAGAATTAGCATGCTCCAAGTAACATGAATTTCAATCGAGGCTTACCACGGAAGTTAAATCAAATATGAGAAAACATGGCTCATCACAAGCCATTACGTTTGTGAAAATGCGGCAAATGTGAGTATGATTTGGGAACCCTTCAAGAACAAGACCATAAAGCTGATAAGTTTCATGAGTTTTTGTTTGGGCTTAACGAGCATTATCGAACATCATAGTCAAATTTAGTGTCTTGTACACCTAACATGTCCATCGAAGAAGTGTATAATGTAGTACGCCAAGATGAAGACTCAAGACCCGTGGCACAAACAATGAAGAAACAACAAATGTAAGTTCATATGCGGTACAAGTCTTTCAGTAAGAAATGAAGATCGTACTAAAGGTGTAGTATGGAAGCATTGTCAACAGGCAGGACATTCCTCAGACAAGTCTTTTTTGCAATTTTTGGATATCGTGAATGATGGGGAGACCGTGCCAAAGGAAGAATGATCCAAGATTGAGGCTGTGGTTGGATTGTTAGCAACATGACATATGGGCGTGGTAAGAATCTGAATTATGTAAATGCGGTTCAAGTTCCACATATCCCAACTCAGGAGCAAGTCAATTATGTGATGACATATTAAAATCGTATCGTAATGGTGTATCCTTGTGAATCTCTTGAATGCATGAAGCCATAGCAATAATGAAAAATCTCGGGTAAGTCTTCTTTGTGTTCTTGGATTATGGATACCGGTGTGTCACACCACCTAACAAGAAATTCTGAATTCTTAAGCGATATAAGAGAGATGGAACCGGTTCTAATAAGCTGATGGTAGATAAAGAAATTAAAGAATCTCAATGACAGAAGGAACGATTATATTGGGTTTTCATATGGCTTTGAAACCTGTCTTCTATGTTGAAGAGTTGAAGTCAAATTCGATTGATGTTAGTCAGTTAATGGATGATAATAATTATGTGGTACAGTTAGCTGATCGGATTCTTGTTGTTCAGGACCGTGTTTCGTGTCTGGTGATTGGACTGGGTCAAAGAGAAGCTGGAACTTTCAATTTTCGCAGAATGGTATCGGTGGGCTCAGTGGGAACTCGTGAAGACAAATCAAATGAGTTGTGGCATCAAAGACTGAGACATCCTTCTGTTACAACTGTTGGTTCTCTCAAGAATGTTTATGTTTCGGTTATTTCTGAAAATTTTAATAAGGCGTGTGATGTATGTTTCTGCGAGAAAAAAACAAGATCATCATTTCCAACTAATATCAATAAAAATTTAAAAGTTTTTAAAATTAATTCACTACAATCTATATATTATAATAGTACACTTTCTAGGCTCCACAACGTGCCACGTCAGCAGTTTTGTGGGTCCTGTAGGTATTTTTAAAAAAATTATAGTCTTGGTAAGATGATTACAAACAATAAAATACACTTTAGCCAAGTGGTATAAGGTGTCTAATTAAGCATGCAAGATCGTGGGTTCAAACCACGCATCCATCATTTATTTTTGATTTTTTTATTTGGGTTATTATCTTATGGGCTTTTTGTTTGTAAGGTTTTTATGTTTTTTTTTTATGGCTTATTGTTTTAAAGATCGAAATAGTTGGATAAACCATAAAGATTAACGAGTTCAAACCAAAAATAGTTAAAAATGAATGCAAAAACGAACAATAAACAAAAACAAAAAAAAGCAAGTCTCATGCGGTTGCCTACGCGGATAGCTTAAAGAGCCTTAAAAATATCCTATTATAATATAGTTCAACGCAAAAATAATAAAAAATGAATCCAAAAACGAACCGACCAAAAAAAAAGTGAATCCCACGCGGCTACCTACGTGGATGGCTTAATGAGGCTTGAATAATATAGATTAAGAGCTCAAAAAGTGAAATCATTGCACATA